AGCATCAAGGGGGGCAAGATGCTGTGGGACAAACAAGCAGATCTAAATGTCCCACAGTACTGAATCATCTAGGATGTGGAGACTCGGTGGAGCGCCACATACCTGATGCTTGAGAGGCTGGTGGAGCAACAGAGGACCATCCATGAGCTGGCCTTGCTTGAGGAGATTGGGATCAGCGGCCCCCTGACCAAAACTGAGTGGGATGCCATCTACCAGATCTTGCTAGTCCTCAAGCCCTTCCTCGAGGCCACTGAGACCCTCAGTGCTGCTGATGCCTTCCTCAGCCAGGTGGTCCCCATAGTGAAGGAGTTCCGCAGCCAAATGGAGAGCTTCCTGGGGGCCAATGTTCCTGGCTGGGGCAGGTTTCTTTCACCAGATGTGCAGGCACTGGTGAGGTGGCTGAAGGTGGGCCTTAGGAAAAGGCTTGAACCTTTGGGGTCCAACACAGTGCATATGCTGGCTGCCATCTGTGACCCAAGGGTGAAGGGCACCATATGTGGCAGCAAGACACTGAGTCACTGGAGGGAGGTACTTATTAAGAAAGTGACGGAGGTGGAACGGCAGAGACGGGGGAAAGTGGGACGGGGGATCCACTGCCTGAACCCAGCCTGCCATCCATGAGCCAGTCTTCCCCTCCACCACAGGTGTTGCCAATATGGGCTAAGGCCATGGCAAACATTAGGGGGTCCAGACCCACCAGACCCCAGGATCAGGCAGACAGCCCTCACACCGTGGGGTCTGCCTATCTTGCCGAGCCTGCGGAGCCCCTGGAATGCAACCCCCTTGGCTTACTGGGCAACCCGCAGCCCAGTGTGGCTGAATCTGGCCACAGTTGCCCGGGAATACCTCTCCTGTCCACTGACCAGTGTGCCAAGCGAGAGGGTGTTAAGCATAGCTGCAGATGTTGTGACACCCCACCGCACCTGCTTGGATCCTGGTTTGGTGGAGCAGCTGGTGTTCCTCAAGGTGAACCTCCTGCTGCTGGACTTCCCCAAGCTCCAGGTGCAGATGGAATAAATGCCACCCTCCTTGCTCCATCTGGATCACGAGTTTTGTCTGTCAGCAGCCTAAGGTGCAGTTTCCCCCAAACCCCTGCACCTATCACTGTGAAAGTTGGCAGGCTTTGTGGGCTTCTCAGGGGCTAGCAAGCCTGCAGTTTTGAGCTCCCTGTGGCTTTCTACACAGAAGTCACAGGAGGTTTTCTCTCAAGAATTTGGGGTGCTGTTTCTCTGACCCCCTGAACTTAACTTATTGAAAGTGGGCAGGCTTTGTGGGCTCCTCAGGAGATACCATTCCTGCAAGTTTCATCAAGATCAGACAAGAAATGCCGAAGTTATAGCCTGCTTCGACCTTCCCCATTATAGCCTATGGGGAAGTCGAAGCAGCTCAAATATTCGACTGAGCTTCGACCTCAGGTCGAAGCAGACCTGCTTCAACTCGAAGCGGATGACAAATTGAAGTGGGACCCGGTTTAATATTCGACATGGCTGTCGAATCGAATATTACCTGCTCTGCACAGCCCTGTTACACATGCCTCTCCAAATTAGGGTATGAGGTATTCAATGTTTAGTTTCAAGCCTATTTTTATATTTTTAAACATGGAATCTATTCTGTAGCTGACATTTTGCACACTGTGCATTTAACATAAGGGAGCCCTAAAGCTAATAAAAAGCCAAGTTCTCAGCAGCTCTATAGTTACAGCCGTTTTCACTGAGAAAATTAGAAATTTTTGGCTTCGTTATCTTTTTCAGTTTCAAATATTACACTTCAAAGACACCTTCAGACATATTCAATATACTTATAAGTGACCAAAGACACAGCTATTAAGCTCCAGTTAAGTTTCTTATTAGCTCAGCTATTATTTGAGTGGGCATCAAACTCATTGGCCCTGAATAAAAGTAAAACATTGATGTTTTTTCATTTTGACACAAGTGAAAAATAATATATTTATTTGATCATTTGTAAGACTTGAACACTGAGCTAATTTTAATCCTGATAAGAAAGTCTCTGGACTGTTAGGTGGAATGTTTTTTGTTAGAATGTAATTTCTTTCTGGAAGTTGGCTACACTTTTCTTTGTATTGTTAAATTACCTAGCACCAAAGGCCTATGGTCTCTTGACACTGCCACAACTTAACTTTATTTTACCCCCTAAACTTAATATAGGGTAGGGAGCGGGCATAAGTACTGGCCTGAGGGCTGGTCAGGAATTTATTTTCAGTGGAAGGTGGTTGGGATTTTTGTTTTTAAATTTTGTTAAGGAATGCAATTCTCCTTAAATAGAAGGGGGAATATTTGATACTAGGTATTATCCTGTTTTAAATTAAATTGTCAAAAATACCTTGTTAAAATGTATTTTTTTCTATTTTTCATTGAAATGACATTGTTTTGAAATTCAAATTAGTGTATTTTAAAATTTTGACACTGAAATGAAGACAGCAGAAGAGAGGGCTGCAGAGGGGAACACTGGAGAGGGGTTGGGCAGCAGGGCAGAGCTTCTTGCCTCCAATTTTGTGCCTCTCTGGACTGGATCCAACTACTTTGTGGTCCAGATCTGGCCTGCAGGCCATAGGTTGCTGACACTGGGGTTAAGAAACATTTGTCTAGGATGATTTAGAAAGGGATCATCCTACCTTAAGTGGGGGTGGGGGTTGGACTAAATGCCTTGATGTCAACTCCCTGCTTTTCTGTCTGATTCTGTGATTGACCCAAATCTTTTTTGAAGTTTGGTTATTATAACAATGATTTTTGAGCTATTGATGACTTATTTTAAATTCTGGTAGGAAAACATTTGGAAATCTTGAAAATTATTACAGGTTAGGAAGGCAGTCTACTAATCAAATCTAGCTAGTTTTCCTATCTAGCTGTTTTTGCCACTTAAAGGTGTATTCCAAGCCCTCATGCACCATCAGATAGCAAAAAGGAGATGGAATGGTAGTTGAGAATCTGGACCTCTTGATTTTAAAATCTATGTTGCTTGTTCATTTTTTCCTGTCTTGTGAGACAGCTATAGCTGTTTCACCTGGTATCCCTGCAGTTTTGTCTTGCAACATTTGAAATAGTTTGTTGTCATTTATAACCCTCTCTGGAACATTCAGTAATGTCCATTGGAAAGTGAATCAACTTGTGCTGCAGAAAGAAGTATTGAAAACTTCCTTTTTTGGACTCAATAGGCAAGTGGAAGTTTTCCATTCTTACTGAAAGTGCTCTATAGGAAACAGTCTTTTCTGTTCGAGGGTAGACTGTATGAATTCATTTCCATTGCTCTGGTTTCATTTTGTTAGGTCTTGTAGGCCTTAAATTCATACCAAATAAAGGAACAAGTATTTTTAACATAAAACATTCTAAAACAGATATGTGCTAGATCATGTGAAATGTAAGCCTCTTCTATCTGTCGAGTACATCATCTAGAAGATTCTGCTGAAACTAGTTTAGCCAGTGTACAAATACTTTGTCAGACATTCCCACTTCAGAACCTATGATCTAGGTAGAGAAGATGATGAGGAGAAAGAAATAGGCAAACAGAGGTGAAGTGTTATGCTGAAGCTCACTCCACAGAGCCAGGAAGAGTCGCCCAGTCACCTGACTGAGTTGTATTAGACAGGATATGTTGTCTCTCTTGCTCAGAATATTGTAGATAAGTGCCCTACTTGTTCAGGAATGTAGGCCAAGAACCAAATATACTCATCCAGAAAAAGGAAAAGAGAGCAACATTTGTGCACACTGGGAGAAGAGTGGGAGTTTATTGGTGAGTAGGCAAAATGAATAAAAATGAAGATTAATTTGAGAGTACACGATTAAATTTAGAATATTAAGTAAACCTTTAGTCTACCAGTGTATGGGAGACTGCAAAAAATAGATGTCTTTAGAGCAATAGAATAATGGATCACAGATTATAGCACTGGAAAAAGACATTTTGAAGTCAGAAACAAGAACTGCTGTATTGAAAGTTCCAAGGCACTCAGAAGTGCAGCATACAGAAGTAATACATATATTAAATTCATTTCTATTTCTGTTCCAGAAGAAAAAGTAAAGCATCTTGAATATCCACTAAACTCATTTAAGGAAGGTACAGGAAGATGTGGCTTATGAAGCTTTATCACTCTGCATGATTACTACACCTCTAACATCTGAATATTCTTATACTGGTTTAAAAAGCTTGGCAGACTCAGGTATAAAAAGATCCTAAAATAAAAATGGAGTTGATATACCTTGGAAATAGAGTTGGTCTAAAAACTAAAAATAAGTCCCTCTCAAATTTTTAGAACTTTCAAAAAAAGTTTTTTTTTAATATTTTAACGTTTTTAAAAAGTGCCAAGTCCTGAAATTATCACAGAACTTCTCTCTCATATCATAGTTTAGTCAAGTTTTAATTTTTGTTGTCTCCACCCCTTTCCCCCATTCTGTATATTTCCCTTCTCTCCCATTGTGCCTTTGTTTAGGGTTCCCTCCACCCCCCATTTTGCCATGGAGAAAGGATGAGAAGGGAGGAAAAAATGTTTAAGTTTTACTAATATATTGGATATTGGAGGAATGAGACGCAATTTAAAACCCTAAGACTTTTACAAACTTCTGGTAGACCTTGACCTAAGACTGACACATTTCATAACTGTACTAGTTCTTTGCTTTTGAAATCCAAGTTGTATTGTGGCAGAACTGCCAAAATAGTTATTGCTGGGCTAGCATGTGAAAGTAATAGGATAGTTGTGAAGCATCTATTTCAGTTTTTAAGATATTTTGGGTAAAATGAATGGGAGGACAACTATATACTATGCAAGTGATGAAAACTCCCTATTTTGTGCTGCAGTCATCATAATGCCATTACTAACTGAAAAAAACTAGTTCTGTGAGTGTGGAAACTGAGTTTTTTTGAAACAAGCCATAAAATGTCAACACAAAATTGAGGTGGATGTTCACTCTTTAAAGTGAACCTTGTATTACCCAGTACTTTTTTCTTGACATCTTAATTGGAAAAATAGATTGCTTTCGAAGTCATGAACTATTTGTTCTGCATAAAAGGGCTCATGTTCAGAGACGACCTAAACTGTACACCAGAAGGCTCATTTCTTCACCACTTCACCAAGAACAAAGTTAAGTTTCCATGAACAGAACTCATGTAATTTAGCTTTAAGTCTTCCGAAGCTCGATCATTATAATTCATTTTATATGTTACTATTTTTAAGTAATTTTATTGTTCCACACAATTAATAATTTGACAAGAATAATTTGTCTTTCATCTAAGGATTGCACTCCTTAGACATGTCAGTGCATTTTCACTCCTGGTGTTATATCAGCACATGGGAATTACTATTTATTTTTACTAATAAAAGAGACAATGCCTTCATTTTTTAAAGCAGCCTTTCTGTGGCCTGAGATAACTGTGACTTGATGTTCACAGGTTCTAATGAATGACAGTGAGGTAGGTGGATAGTCAGTTCTTCTGACATCAATTTTTGGTTAGCAGATTTTCAGTAAAACTCAGTACCCTCAATAGGGACCAGTTTATCAGAAGAGTTTCACTCACATTTAGGCATCTAAATACATAGCCACATTTCCAGAAGACCTCAGTACATTAATTTCAATGAGAGATTCCAGCTGCTGAGCACTTTTGGAAATATGAGCTTTATTTAGGTGCCTAAATGAGTTCTGGGCTTTTTTGAAAAGCTGGCCACACATACCTAAATTTAAACATCTACTGTTAGACAGTGTATTTAAAAAACTGGTTTCTGGTGGCTCATCTGAGGCCACATGAACTTAGATCAAAACTGAAAATAGAGATTTCCAGATCCGATATATGTTAACCATGATACTGTACTCAGCCTTTGAAAACAGCTAACATTTAGCAAAAGCCAAAAACATTCAGCAAAAGTTCTCAAATTTAGATTTTAAAATGGTTAGAGAGTCTGACACCCATCCAAGTCTCTAGGAGAAGTATATCTCATCCAAGGAGAGCTAACAAGAGCTTTCTACTCTGAATGTGGCCCTGAGACTGAAGACAACAACCAGAAAACAAATTTGACATAAGCAACAAATGCATCTCCTGAAGCTACAAAAATGTACATAAATAAGCTTGTAAAATAGGAGCCAGCACTGTAGAACATGTTACACCCTATACTAGTACCCTGGTTCACTGAGATAGTCAAGCATGTGAACAGTTAGATTAAAGTCATTAGCTCTGGCATTTTGCAGCAGTAAAAGTAGTGAAACTGCTCACATACTTTTAACCTTTTTACTCCCTTTGATTGTGTTTTCACATCTCCAACATCTTATTTTCTGGTATCTCTATTTTAGTATTTACATAATTTTCTTCTTGTTCAAGTACAGCAGTAACAGACTTCCTTTCAGTTATGGGGAATGATGGGACTTTGTTTCTCTTCAAAGCTAGGAACAGACATTCAAAAACCTGAGCCTAAATTGATTCAATCTTTGCAAGTTAGTCTAACCTGGCTAGGTAAATCACTTGGTAACTGCACAGACATCCCAGAAACATAGGCACATGCCTGCATTGGCTCAGGCTAGAAGCGGGGATGGGGGGTGGGGGAAAGGGATGTGTGTGCTAGAGCAGCCCTCCCTTCCGTTGTATAATGCTGAGCTGGGGGGGGGCGTGGCTAGGCCCCAGCAGGATGGCTTGATAAGGGAGGGGTTCCCTCTCTTTTGACCAGCCCAGCAGGGAATTGATAACACTGTTTATCACCTTATTAAGAAAACAACAGAGGGACATTACCAGCTACCTGTTGATTCTCCCTTTGTCCCATCTGCCATGGCATGGCCCTTAGCCAGCATATGGTCTGCTAGCTAATGCTGAGAGGTGTCTGTAAGGCAGAGGGGACAGGGAGGGGAGCAGGGATGCCTGCAGTCTGTGCTAAGATCCAGCCAGGGAGTCAAAGGGAGGGGCCAGCTCTACTGTGGAGCAGAGAGCCCCGCCCAGCCCAGAGAGCATGCCAGGATGCCAAGGGAGTCTTGTTTAACTTAAACCAGCAACGGGTTATTGAATAAACTGGTTTGACCCAAATAGTTAAGTCTGAAACTACATTCAACCAGGTTTATCTCAAACCATTTTCAGCCATTTTCAAACTGGTTTATGTGCACTGAACAGCTGTTCTGTTACAGGTTTAAACCAGTCTCTGATCACTTAAATTGGTTTATGTGTAATGTCTGTCTGTAGCCATAAAGACAAGTTTAGAGTGCCTTTCCTTTCCTTCTGTCCTATTTGAGACTTGTTTTCAACAGCACATACATGTGTTATTGCAGGCTGAAATTACTAAGTGACAATTCCCAGGCAACTAGGCTGTACCATTCTAAATTCAGCATTACCACATTTTACTGTAAATTGCTATTTTTTCTTTAAAAATGCCATGAAATCTAAAGAAAGAAGAAAATGTTCAAAACAAAGTGAAACAATCTTATTATGTGGTCACATGAAATGTCTGCAGCAGATCAAATATTGAAGACCGGCCTACAAAAAAAGGGAGCTCCACACATTAAATTCTGTTGAAAATGACAATGGAAAATGAACAAACTAAATAAGTAACAATGTTGAATCCCACAAATAAGTAGCATGTCCAGACTTCACACTGATTTTTCTCTCTGGAAGTTCCAGTTATCTTAATACCACTACAATTCTTTTCTAGCAATTCATTGCCAATATCACTTTTCAAAAAATTGCATTTGAATTCCTAGTTAAGAGAGTTCATTATTCTCACTTATATAATAATGTTCTCATCTTTCTCTAATCTTGTGCTCTAATAAAATGGAGCTACCAAAAAATCTGAGTGGAGCTGAATGGAGGGAGTGAATTTCAGTGAAGACTTCTCACTTTTTCTTTTTCTATGGTGTTTACAACTTTCAGACATTTCAGCATAGCGGCTGCCAATTTTGAACATTAATTACCATTTGTCTAAGTTCCACATAGCAATTGAAAAAAAAAATCTTCATAAATCAATCTATCATCCTTGTGTTTATAGTTGATCATCCCTGATTTCCTGGTCAGCCACAGAAGCATCCAGAATCAAATGGGGTGCCATCTATCTGGAGCTGAAAGCATGGCCTTCTTGTTTTGTGCTGTGTCACCCATTTAGTATAAGATCTCTTTAGTGACTGTATTTGATTTGTTGTTCTCTATAGCTATTCTTTAATGTTTGTAATATGGAAATGCCTAGAGGCCAACTGGATTGGGAGATGTGTGTGGGGATCTGTCTATATACAATTTATGAATTCTCATTAATTTTTATGAAACTGCTCTATCGCTGAACTGTAAGGCTGTGAGAAGCTTTGGTTACTGATTTGATTCAGTAGAGATTTGGGCCAATTCAGCAGCCGAATCTCCGAAGCCAAATCAAAGCAGGAGACCCTTTAATCTATCCAAATCAAATCAGAACCCTCCAAATTGATCCAGAAAGATTGATTCAGAGAAGCATTTCTGGTCCACTCTGGGTCGACCGTGGAGCATGCGTGCCCCTCCCCCCCGCCTCCTGACTCAGCAACTGATGCTTCCTGGGTCTGAGGGGGCAACTGGGGGCCCTCCATGGCCAATTGCTAAGCTGGGGGTTTGTGGGGGGGTTTGTGGGGGGTCATCTGCATGCTTGACAGCAGACTCAGAAGTGAACTGGAAGTACTTACGGTTCACTTCTGGGTCCACCACCGAGCTTGTGGGGGGTCCCCCATGCTCCTGTGAGATGCCCCATCTACCCCACCATCTCAGCATTTACAAAACATGCCTGGTACCTTGAGGTATGCAGAAAAAAATATTTAAAGCTGTGTCTCTGGCCAAATCACTGATGCTCCACTGAGCATCGAATGTTCAGATTTAGATTCAGCCAAATCGAATCAGGACAGTGATCTGTATTAATGAATCAAATTAAACTGTCTCCTGAATCTGAATCTGAATCAAATGCAGCCCTCTTTGCACACCCCTACTGAACTCCTCAATGTATAATGAATCAGCCAGTAGTGTAGTGACCCACCCTGTCTGAAAGAAGCTACAGAATAATCAAAATAAATTGTTAACCTTAATGAGTATGCTTTGGCTGAGCAAAAGAGCTAAGAAAGGTGCCTGGAAATCCAGTTGGCATAAAGTTATTGTTATGGGTGGGATATAGAATGTAGGGTAGGGGGGAGAGAAACAAAGGAACAAAGGCAATGAAGCAGGGATTCAGAAAGACAAAGGAAGCTTGGAGTAGATAGAAGAGCAGAGACGTGCCTTAATAGAAGACAGATTTTTTTTCATTGCAGGACAATTCAAGGAAGATGAAAGATGTCTGCAGAAGAAAGAGACTCTATGATTCAGATCTGCTACTGCTCGAGTGTAGATGTCTGCACCAAAAAACAAAAAAATTAAGGAAAGCTTGCAGCTTTTCCAGACTTAAGGAAACTTCAGATCACTTGGGTTCAGGGTGCTGGGACCTAACAGCTTCTTGTCCTACAGAAAACATTTGATAAAGGACTGCTCAAAAAAAAGCCTTATCCATTAAACTTTTAAAACTTGATTGAATTCTATTAGTCTCCTTTCCATTGAAACAGTGTTTCTGAGTTAATGCTCTTCTACCATATTTACCTGTATTAGTCAAGGTTGAATATCATATAGTATAACTGTAACATTGTTTAATTTCCTCAGACTTATTCTGGCTTTGATTTCTTTGCAAAACAGTTGTATTCTTTTTGATTTCCAGATCATGTTTCACATGAAATATACCAAGTTCAGGAGCTATTTTCATCATTAATTGTTTGATGCAGTTCACGCAGCCTCCTTTCTTTGTTAGTGTCCAATAAGTATGAAAAAGTATTGTCATTAGTTTTAATTGTGTCATTAATTTGTGTACAAGTACCAGTAAGTAAATGTTGCATATGTTTTATCTTGGTAACAATACTATTATTATTGACATCTTTTCTTCTGCGTGAGATGGTGGATATTGCAGCCTATGATGTAGATGGTTTGCAGTGTCTCCTGTGACTGAATAGTTTAATCCAAGATTTGCATTTTCTGTGGCAGTGGTTGCAAGTGTGTGTGTGTGATGGTTGGGTGAGTTCATGAGCTGCTTTCTTCCTATGGACTCTTTTCTCTTCAAGCTGTTGATGCCAATTCCTGTCATGGACTTTAATGCCCTGGTGAAGACAATGATGCCACTTGAACCTAAGTAGCTGAATTTTTGGACTACTTCTAGTTCTCATTAAGGATGAGTGATGGATATTGTGAAACTACCTGTCCAAGTATGACTATTTTCTTTATGCTGATAGTGAGAGCAAATGCCTGACAAGCTCTTGAAAGGCGACACATAAGTTCTTGTAGTAGGTCTTCATCGTGGTCTATAAGGGCAGTATCATCAGTGAATAGAAGCTCCCTTTCTAACTTTAGTCTTTGCCTTGAGTTGTGACAGGCTGAAGAGTTTCCCATCCAATCTTGTGTGAAGGTACACTTCACCTTCCATATCTTTAAACACATAGTTCAGGAGTACTGAGAAAAAGATTCCAAAGAGTGTAGAAGCAAAAGCACACCCTTGCTTCACTCTGCTTTTCATCTCAAAGCTGTCTAAAGTGAACCCATCAAGCTGAACAGTTGCTTTCATGTTATCATAGAAGGAATGTATAAGACTTAACAGGATTTGTGGGGATCCTATCTTTTTTAGGACTGCAAATAGGCTTGCTCTGCTGACGGTGTCAGATGCTTTGATTAGATCCAGGAAGGTGATGTACAATGGTCAGTTTTGCTTTCTGCACTTTTCTTGAAGTTGACACAGGGAAAATATCATGTGTATGGTTGATCTTCCAGCCCTGAATCCCAATGCCAGTGGTTGCAATGACTCACCAGTTGTTGTAGGTAGACCAAGAAGACCCTTGCAAAAGCTTTTCCTGCTGCACTTAGTAGCAAGATACCTCTGTAGTTGCTGCAGTCACCCTTATCTCTTGTATTTTTATACATAGTGATATTGTTTGCATAACACGTTTTGTGGTACCTCACTATCCAGCATTTGAGTAGCAGCTATTGAAGATATGGTAATAGGCTTTCTTTCCCACACTTGAGAATTTCTGCTAGGATGCCATCTTTTCCAGGAGCCTTGCCACTTGGTAATGAATCAATAGCCTTGCTTAGCTCTTCTACAGTGGGCTAGCACCATGTATAACTCTGGTATGACCTGTAGAGTTGGTATTTGGTCCAGTGATTCACTGATGAAGCTTCTTGCTTGTGAGTGTAGCTCTGAGTAATGTTCAACCAATGAGGCATCTGCTTACTTCTATCTGTAATGGCTTCACTGCTGCATGTTTTGAGCAGGGTATCCTTGTTTACAACAGGGCCTAGAGCTTTCTTCAGACCATTGTACAAGACTTTTATGTTTCCTGTGTATGAGGCTGTCTGTATCTCTTCACATTGGTTAGTCCAGTACTACTTTGCAC